TCCCATCATGTCATCCCCCTGCTCTCAAATTACAATGGTTCTAAAAGCTTCTAAGGGGATGTGCCCGGGATGTATAATGTAATTTGGAACAAATATTCCTAAAAATTGTACACACAGCAGCAGCGTAAACAAAAAGCAGCTCCTGCACACTATCAGCACATGCAAATGTATTGAATAGCTACATTTTGCTAAAGCAACAGCAAGTTAATGTCAGAGTAACCAAGAGAGAATTTTAGTCTACTAAAGTCTACAGGGAAAATCATATTCAACATATACCATGGATAGTATACTGCATATATGAAGTTTCCATTGAAGAATAATATTAAACAGTGTGTTTAGTTTAAACAGTAAACTCATAAACTCAACATAACTAACTAAATTTTACTTGAACACTACTTAGGGAAAAACAAAGACATTATTATTGAGCAAGTGCTTGACTGAAATGAGTATCAGGTACAGATAATGTACTTCTTAAGAGACAGAGTATCAAACAAGTAAAATGTGTCGGTATCCGTACTCAGATAGATAGATAGATAGATAGACATATTTACACAAAAAAAAAACAGAACACCAACCACCATAAATAGTTCTCTTAGTAGTTCAATTAACATCATTGCTCTAAAGCTCAATTCTTTAAATAGTTTCCTAATAAATTTAGATAAAGATAAATATAACTTCCGATCCACCAATGAAAATTTCAGGCTTAAATTAACAACTTCCTGCTCACTTCGGGTTTAATTTAGTTGCTTGAACAGATACAAGATCTGTAAAACAATAATGTAAAATACATCACAACACAATCTTATAAAGTGAAAAGAATTTGGACCTGATCATCATGGGTCCTCAGCAATGACCCCATGGGGGCGCAGCAAATTACTGTTTGATAATATAGAATAAAAAAATTAATATATAAAACTGTCAATTCTTCTTATTTTCATAGCTTATTATTGTATGCACGATAACAATGTACGTTTATACATACTAATATTACGCCCTACAAATTATTGTAGACCCAGTTTAATATGTAACAATGTATATACACCGATCAGCCAT